TAACTGAGCACAATTGAAACATCAGGAGAGCAGGTGCACATGTGGGGGCTTTTGGGGTGGCTGAAAATACAGACCTGACAAACACCTGTTCCCCTTCTCCCTGCTTCTCTCCTTCCTCCGGGGTCGTCCTAGAGACTCAGTCAATTTTGCAGAAGCCTATCTTCTGACCAGCAAGTTTTTTTACATTGTAGAAATGAACTTCGGCAACAGATAATAGTACAGTACATAGAAATCATAAAGAAGAAAATGTAAATTGGTGATGGTCTTACCCAGAGATGGCTATTGTTACTCTTTTATTGTTCCTTTGTCTCTTTTAAATGCACTTTTTGACATTTGAGTCCATACTGTAAATATCCTTTTATGTTCTACTCTTTTTTTCTTCACACTATCCTTTGATGGACTCTTGGGGAGAGCTGATGCAGACGAGGCTATCCCACTGCTGGGGAGGGGGGCGTCTGGCCTCAGGATGGAACACAGAAGTACCCAGCCCAGCACCCACTCAGCATCCAGCCCTGCTGCAGTTGGACTGAAGCCGGAAGCAGCCGGCTCTTGGATTAGATCTGCCGCAAGCCGACTTCTCAGCATGTTCTCTAGTCTTTTACTTATTATATACTCACCACTGTTCTTGCCAGTTCATATTTTGGGGATGGGGTGGCATCATGCACTTTATATTTGCTTTTTAAAAAACGAAACAATTTTTTTCCTCAACATGAAAGGGCTTCCAGATTAAAAAATGTTTCCATTTTCAGCATAAAGCCTCCATTTTTAAATTTCTTTTGTTTAATTTAGTTTTTTTAACCTTATAATTGAGGATGGTTTTGAAGGTTTGGGGGATGGGAAGTAGCGCAAGGAAGGAAAGATGAACCCAACTTAGATGAGAAGCATGGCATCTGTTCTTGAGGCACACTGCCTGTATTCCTCCTGGAACCCAAGATYGGAGAGGAGCAGTGGAAATGTGATTCTATGCGTGTGCTTTATAAAGACCTGTGTTAGCAGGATTCGTGTGCGTGCACGCCTGTGTCTGCAAGAAGACTGTGTTTTAAAGGATTCGGTGGCATTGTATTTATAACTATGTGGTTGCTACCAGCTACCAGCATGTCTCCTTGCACTGGTTCACTTCCCTTTCCCTGTGTCCCAATTCTGTTCTAAAATGTTCAGTTTTGAGGGAGCAGCCTGTTAGTCCACTTGCCTCCCCACCAAACACAACCCTAGCTGTGGCTTCCTGGGAATTCTGGTCTGGTCCCACATAGGACTTGTTCTGACATGTTGGTTTCCAGTTGCAGGAGAAAGGGTCAAGATGAGCCACTCTCTATTTAGGGTCCTGTCCTACGTGGCAAGGACAAATGGACAACTGGAGCTTAGCCAGAGGGTAGGTACATTTGAAAACATTAATTCCACAGCTTCCCAAGAGGTTAGGCATTGCTTCTCAAACATTAATGTGCATCAAAAGCACTTGGGGAAGGCAGATTTCCAGGCCTGTCTGGCATATCAGATCTCATCAGTTATAGTAAAGCCTGGGAATTTGACTTCTAAGTGGGCCTGATAACGTGATTCTGGTGTTGGAAATTCAAAAACCACACTTGGAAGAACAGGGGATTCTGGGTGTCACACTCTACTACCCTCCATCAATATGGCAAAATAATATTGCCCCACCCTCCTCCCAGCTCCCTACCTTAGGCTGCATGCTTTGAATCAGTAGGTATACCCTTAAACCCTTAAAGCTTGTTACCTCCATCATTTTGGTAATAATGTGCATTTGGGAGGGGCACACACTAATTTAGGGATGACCTGCAGCCCCACTCATGCAGGAAGACTCAGGATAGATCACCTGTAGCTCTTTGGGTATAAAGTGGGCATGCAGGATGCTCCGCMGACTTCCAGCTCCTGGAATGGTAGACAAGGTGCCTGTGTTCTGTGATTCCCTCTGGCTGAGCTCTTCAGCACACTGCTTGCCTCCCCTGGAAGTGTGCACAGGCACGTACTCTGAGCACACATGCAAAGCTCACTTCTGTGGGCCTTCACTTTCCACTTCACTGGCACATCCTGGGTCTCTTCACTCAGTCCATTTCCCGTTTTCACCTGTAGAAACCTGTTTTTGTGTCCAAACTATGTATAAAAATGCCATTGTTAAGTGTGCTCAGATACTGAACATTATTCAAACACTTTGGCATACCAGGTATGCACATACATACAGCAGTAAATGGCAGAACATGATACAAACACTGCCTCATCTCAAACCTCTGGTGTCTTCAAACCCTTTTATGGTGCAGACTCGATCACTTTGGAGTCGATGACCTAAGTTCAAATGCAAGTGCTGTCTTTTACTAGCTACCTGACCTCAGAGGAGTTACTTATACTCACAAGGCCTAAGTGTCCGTATTAGGATTAAATGAGAAATCTTGTAGAACATGGAGATTCTATGCCTAGAATCTAATAAGAAACTCACAATGGGCTGGGGATGTGGCTCAAGGGTATCACGCTAGCCTGGCATGCGTGCGGCCAGGGTTCGATCCTCAGCACCACATACAAACAAGGATGTTGTGTCCGACGAAAACTAAAACATAAATATTTTAAAAATTCTCTCTCTCTCTCTCTCTTTTTTTAAAAAAAAGAAACTCAGGGCTGGGGATGTGGCTCAAGGGTATCACGCTAGCCTGGCATGCGTGCGGCCAGGGTTCGATCCTCAGCACCACATACCAACAAAGATGTTGTGTCCGCCGAGAACTAAAAAATAAATATTAAAAATTCTCTCTCTCTCTCTCTCTCTTTTTTTAAAAAAAAGAAACTCAGGGCTGGGGATGTGGCTCAAGCGGTAGCGGGTTCGATCCTCAGCACCACATACCAACAAAGATGTTGTGTCCGCCGAGAACTAAAAAATAAATATTAAAAATTCTCTCTCTCTCTCTCTCTCCTCTCTCACTCTCTCTTTAAAAAAAAAAAAGAAACTCACAAATGTTAGGTACCTCCTTTGTTTCTATATACTTTTTCTTCATATATGAAAGAAAATTGTTCTTAAATTTCTCTCACACAGCATGTTATTCAGGTTTCTTAGTGGTGTGCATCAAAAATCATCTTGGCAAAAATAAAACAGAGAGGTAGAGAGTTCATGAAAAGATACTAGGAGGCTCCAGCCAGGAAAGCTGGAGATCCAGATGCAGAAGATAATCTGGAACCCAGAGAGGCCAGCAAAACAGATGGTCACACTGTCCTGCCTCCTGATGACTTGCTCCATATTCAAAGAGCTGTGCCCAGAGGCCAGGCTTGACCTGCCTGGGTCAAGGACCTGCCCTCTGGCTGGAGCAGTCGGGAGCTGCTCTGGACTTTCAGCTCCTGGAGTTGGACTTGCTCAAAAATGTGAAGGGAGCTCAAAAGCCAGGCAGCCATGGAAGACCCCCACTCAGGGTCTCCTGGTTTCCTATGCGCTCAAGTCACCCCTGCTTTCAGATGTGATCATCCTGAGGTGTGGAGTTAGGAACTCTTCTCAAGCCAGGGCCACTATTTTAGACCTTTCTGTGTTGTCTGCCCATAATGCCCCACACACGACATCTTTCCACTACCAATCCCTGACCGTCCCAGATTTTGCCCATTCTGCACATGCAGACTGTGCAGGTGTTATCTCTCCTTATGGTGATCCTCACCCCCTCAAGACCAACTAGCTCCTTCCTTCCTGCTCCCCAGGAAGTTTCCCTGTGTCTCTATGACCACATTTGCTGGATTATACAATGAATATGTATTATTATGACCCTAATGGTCTGAATTTCTCCTCTCTTGAACCCAAGATGACTCCCTAAAGGCAGAAGTCTGTCTTATCGTCAGGTCCTTGGTTCTTAGCACCTAGGAGAGACTACACATATTTGGTAAGCCAAACATATATTCCTTAGTTCTGTCTCAACACCCTGTGACTCCTTTCCTACACAAGTGACAAATCCATTTTAGAGATAGGAATAATCCAATGAGCATGCCCTGCAAAACATACTGGACAGATGTCAGTCATAAATGTTTATTTCATTCTAGTTTTGCCTGTTTTCTGTTAAAGGCCGTATGCTCTTATTCTTTAACAGGGAAAAGTTGTGAGGCGGGATTCCCGCCTACCTTTTTCAATTCTGCCGCGTCTTCTGGTTCCTTGCATTGCCAAAAAGAGAGCCAGACTCAGGGGTGGGGGCCCAGGGAAAGCAAACCTCCTGCCTACCGGACCTGCAGCCTAATATCTGCCAAGTCCCCACAGGTTCTCCAGCCTCGTCGCCCAGGCACAGAAAGCCCGCTGCTGAGTCTCCGGCCCACGTTCTTGCGGGGTTTCCGCTCGCTGCCTCAGCTGGGGGAAACCCGAGGGTCGCTCCTGCTTCCCAGCGCCTCCCCTTCGCGGGCTGTCCGGGTGCCTCTGCGGCTCTGCGCTGACCCCGGGCCGCGGGGGCGGCACGTGATCGGGAAACTTTGGCAGCAGCGCTGCGGGGGGGGGGGGGGAGGCGCGGGCGACGGCCGAGCTCCCCCACGCGGCAGCTCTGGCGGGCGGCGCCCCCGCGCTCGCTGCTGGGCGTGCAGGTCGCCGCGGCTGCAGGGAAGGCGCCGCCGAGCGCCGCGCACAGCCCGCCCGCGGCAGCGCGTGTGTCCGCCGGGCGCTCCGGCGCCACCAGCCCCGCGTCGCAGCCAGCCCGGTTCTCCCACGTTCCCAGCCCGGCTCTCCAGCGCGCCCAGCCGGCTCTGCTGCGTGACCACCCCGGCTCTCCTGCGTGGTCATCCCAGCTCTCCTGCGCGCCCAGCCGGCTCTTCTACGCTCTCAGCCCAGCTCTCCTGCGTGGCCATCCCTGCTCTCCTGCGCGCCCAGCCGGCTCTCCTGCGTGGCCATCCCGGCTCTCCTGCGCGCCCAGCCCCGCTCTCCTGCACCGCGGGTTCTTCGGCGCGAACAGCCAGCCATCCAGGGACGCCTGTGCCGCCTGTGCCGCACGTCGTCGGACCCCTCTTTCTGGCCGCTCTGACTTTCCCGTGCCTGACCTGCATGGGAAGTTGGGGGAAATGGACAGGGTCGTGCTGGGGTGGATCGCTGTCTTCTGGCTAACAGGTAAGAATCGTTTCCGCGGAGACGAAGAACTTTACGTGTATTCCCACAGCGGTGCGGTTCTCACCCACCCTGGGCTTCCTCCTTAGTGACCATGTTGAAGCCGCTTAGCGAGCTGGTGGTAGGTGGGGGAGGGGCCGTGTGTGTGTGTGTGTGTGTGTGTGTGTGTGTGTGTGTGATGGGGGGGCAGGGGAGAAGCCCCACGTTTGACTCATTGGCTCTGGGCTTCTGTTCTTCATGCGTTCCTGTCTCCATACCGCAGTTCTTCCTGGTCTTAGCCTGAGTTTGTAATGCCGAATCCTGGGAAAACCCTGGCTGAAAAACCAAGGCTCGGAGGAGGCTGATTCTTTAAAAAGGAATGATTGTTTTTTTTTGGGGGGGGGGGACGGGTAGGGGAGTATCTCCCCAATTCCTTTCTTAGAGAAGGAGGAAGACCCAGGGCATGCTCTGTGGCTCCCTGGGCTTCAGGGCTCAAATGAGGAGGATTGGGGAGGATTGGGGACCCAGGCTTGATTGGTCGTGGAGTCTGGGCCTGGCTCTGTCACTGGTATCATTTGGGGAGTGGTTCCGTGGTAAAAGAAAAAGACCCTTTCTAATAATGGACTCCTCTCCCCCACACACACTCAATAAAGATACTTTGCAGAGAGGTCCGGAGGCCCTGGCCTTCTCCCCATCCATCGCTGGAGTCCCCCTGGATCCTTGTGTCCTCTTCTCCTTTTTGTGAACTTTCTTCCCATTCTTCCGGGGCTGGGAAAGGCTCCTGTTGGCAGCTAACAACAATATGTCCTACCCCCAAGGGACAGTAGCCTAGGGAGTGACCAGGCCTAAGAGATGGCCAAAACTGCCCTAATGAGGGGTGGGGTGGCTTGGGCTGGGATTTGTTCAAAACCCAGTGGGGACAGAGTGATAGAGAAAACAGCAAGGTGTCAGAAAGGTGACAAGACAGGGTGGGGACAATGAGGGGCATAGAGGAAAGGGAAAAATAGCACAAACAGGAAGTAGTTTTGCCCCTCTGAGTTGCCACCAGGTCTGGAAAAGAAAATCACGTCACTTGGAAAGGGGAACGAGGTTAAGATAGCCCAGGCGAGCCTGAAGGAGGGTAAAATACATTTAAGAAGAAAGGCAAATGCTCATTTCTCTTGTTGCAGAATAAGATTATTGATTGCCTACAATTTTCTTCTATTTCAAATGAAAGGCCCCTAACATTGCTCTTGTGCCCCTGGGTTTCAGCTGGAGAGGGTACCCTTAGCAGAGCTAGCATCTTATCTTGGCTGCTCTGAGTTCATCCCTCCCACGTTATTCAAATATGAATCATCTCTAATTTCAGGGTTTGGCTGATCCATGCCTCCCCCTCCCCTGGCCTCCCAGCGTTTCCACTGCCACCCTCATGATTCCGCTTCCTTAATTTGTCTCTTCTCAGTTATCATCTTCCAGGTGCGCTGAGACCTGCAGCCTGTACGGGCAACTCCCTGAAGTCAGCCAGGCATCTGGGGAGGGGTCCTGAGCCAGAGGAGCTTTTCCAGACCTGYTCCCGAGATGCACCCTGGGGCTGTGCAGGGGATGGGAGCAGCACATCTGGCCTCTCTAGATGGCTATCCGTTTCTTGTGGACTCCTTCCAGTGGCAGGGCCCCGAGGAATCTAGTTCAGCTCTCTTGGTTCTAGAAAAGGAGGCCCAGGGAAGCAGCATGCACCCAGCACAGGGGTCATTGGAACTAGACTGCAGTTTTCCCACCGGAACCTCGGCCGGTCCTGTTGCACTCTCCCCTTCTGCCTTCCTGGGTTGGTGGAGGGGTTTGTTCAATTTGTGCATGAGGAGGCGATGCCTGTGCCTTCTGCCCTCCGCACCTGGAGAGGCTGCTCCTACCGGGCAGCAGGCAACAGGTTCCTATCAGGCCACCTCTGCAGTCAGATGGCTGGGGCTGCTTTGCTCTGCAGGGAGGGTTGCTCCTTCCGAGCCACTGGTCACCCCGGGCACCCTCTCCTCCTTCGCTGGTGTCAGAGGTGCCCAAGGACAAGCTGTCTCTCAGCCTGAGCCAAGGAGAGGAGCTAACGATGGCGGCTGGGGAGGGGGGTCGAGGAGAGAAGAGCAGTGGAGGATGAGTTGGAATCAGACTCATTCCTCACAGAGAAACCATGTGAGGAAAGGTAGAAGATTTTAGTCTAGCCCAATCAATGAATTCTCTCTTGAGGGGGTGGTAGAAAGGGAGGGAGAAAGGAAAAGACGGATTAAAAACGAGACAGAGAGCCAAGAAGAAAGCCACATGGTCCTGCCTCTCCCTCCCTGTCCCACCTCCCCCTCCCTGTTCTCTCTCCCTCTCTCCCCCGGCCCCCTCCCCCTGCAGGCTGAGCAATTTCCAATCAACACTTCAGGTTTCCCCCTCAGGCTCTAGCAGCTCCTTCCTTCTCTCTCTGCTAAAATTCTGAATTTCTTCCTGCTACATATTTAGCCTCATGATTTCTTATTGTCATTGTGATACTGCTTCCTGCAGTAGATTGATTTTGCTGTTGTTGTTTTGGAAAAACAGAATGCTTACCAGCTGCCATTTTAGCAACAGGTGCCCTCTAGCTACAAGGCTTGAAGGAGGGTTCACTCAGGTCTTTGTTCCTGAATATAGGTGGCATTTCATCATTCCTGGTAGCAGGGGCTGGGGAAGGGCTGGGGCTTGGCTCTGGGGGCCCATCCGTGTGTTTCCTGGAGACGTTGGCGGGTGTCTGAGATGAAGATTGCCTGCTCTGTCAGCATTTCTTGTGGCAGCCTTGGTGTCATTCATGCATGTGTCCCTCCATTCTGCAAACTTGTATTCCATTCCTGTGGCTTCTAAGCCCTATGATAGGTGCTGAGAAGGAAGCACCAGAGGACGCAGTCAGTGGCCTGGAGCGAGGGTTGTGACCTAGTGTTCAGGCCTTTTGTTTTGGTGGTTGATGGTCCCTGATGAGCGCCACCTCGTGCTGCAGGCCAGCTTCGGGGAGGCCCAGTGAGGCCGCACTAGGGGTTCCTGTCCAGATCAGCTCTCAGAGGAGGTGATGGTGAATGAGGACTTTTCCTCAGGCAAAGGGAGTGGGCTATTCCCACATCCTGGTCATTGTGCTGGAGTTAACAAGATAGACAGGACACGGCCACTGCCTTCTAGGAGCCCAGCATGGTGGTGCAGGTACGGGTTATAGAATTGTGGACACTCAGTTATGGAGTGATCGTGTTGTGGGGAAGCAGCAATAGAGACCTGCACTAAGTACTGTGGGTGCCTAAGGGGCTCCTAACCCAGCCTCAGGGGAAGGAGGTATTGGGTAGTGGTCATTTCCTGGTCTCATTTGCACTCGGGGGGTGGCCTGGTGATGGTGAGGACTGGTTTGAGTGGGGAGACAGAGTGGCATGGAGATGGAAGTGTGGCTTTTGGAGACTTCTGACACCAACTTCCATGCTCTCCTGGCTTACCCTGTCTCCCTTCCAATTTCTCTCCCTCCCGTATTCTGCTTTCCTCCACAGAAGTGACCTGTTCAGACCAGGACATCTTCCTTTGATGCTTTTAGCACAGCCATCCTCATGCCCACCTCCCCCAAGTGATGTTTCTCGCTGGGTTCGGAGGAGGTTGGCTCAGTGTTACTCCCCACAATCTGGACATGTGCTTTTGAAGGGTGGTGGCCTCACCCTGATGGAGGACTGCACGAGCAGTCTAGTGTGAGGTGTGGCGAGTACTGTGCTCAGAGTCTGAGTGCCGTACTTAGTGCTTGGTGAGTGGAGAGATCCCTTGCCTGGGAGATGTGGTTTAGATTCTAGTCCCAGCTCCTCCTGCAGCCATAGTGGGTTTGTATCTTGGTCTTGAAAGGTGAGGAATGAGGTGTTTTTTGAGGTCGCTTTGACCTCTAAGATTCTAGATTCTGAACTTTTCTCCCTTTAGTTTAGACTGGGAATCAGAGCTTGAGTGACAGGCCCATTCTTCCTCTCCAGGGCAGAGCCATCAGGGGGCCTCCGCTTCCTTCAGCCTTTTCAGTCCAGTTAACAACTGGAATGGAAAACACCAGCTAGGAAAGGAGGTGCTCGTTAGGCCTTTCAGAGCAGATGGAGTCGCTCCCAGTGCTCGGTGGACACTGTCCCCTTGGAACAATTAAGTGTGGTCCTATGGGGGCTGGTGAAGGGAGACAGATAGGACCACTGCTGGTCCAGCCAGCCCGGACCTAGAGTGACCCAGAATCGTTTCGTTGAGGTAGGGTCTTGCTGTGTTGTCCAGGCTGGTTCTGAACTTGTGCGTCAAGCCATGCCCCTGCCCTGGCTTCCCAAGTAACTGGGACTTCAGGTGTGCACACCGTGCCCAGCTCCAGTCTCAGATTTTTGCTCCAGGGCTCACTTACTCTTCACTCCTTCCAACTTCTTTCCTCCAAGCAGGAATATAAAGGAAGATGATGTGGGGGTGGCTGTTCTTATTTACCAGCTGTGATGTGTCTCTCTGGGTTAGGTGATGTTCCTGCGCCTTATCCCATTTGAACCTTCAAAGTGAGGCGGGCACTGCCCACTTACACCACAAAGACAGAGGCTCAGAGGAAATAAGTGACTCGTCCAAGCTCATGGTATCTTGCTGATTAAAAGCACAACACGGTGTCGTGGACTTAATGTGACCTGTTTGTTTTTAGTGTTTGAATCCAAGAGAAAACTTACTTGGTGGTGGAAGTGGATCAATCTAGAAGTCTTGATTTAAGAGAACATAGATAATATCTATTATGGCACACGGGGTCCTGAGGCTTCGAGTTGGTAGAAGTCAGGGGAGTAGAGCAGGGGAGAGCAAGGCAGGATGCCGGGTCATCTCCCCCAGACAAGTGCTGAGTGCACAGGAAAGGGGCAAGTGAATGGGCAGTGCTCCAGCAAGGCACAGGAGGGCAGGCTGTGCTGCTGGCCACCTGGGACCAGGCTGGTGCTGTGCACCCAGGAGCCACACGGGGTATGGCTGCTGCATATGTGCGCTTAAAGTCTTAGTCTTTGAGACCATTTTGGCTCTCTGAAAATGAAAGA